GGGACAGTGCCTTAGAATAGGCCATCTTAATTCATTATCATGATCCTCCAAGCAGGTGACAAAGTGTTTTAAAGAAACAAAGAAATAAATTAATTTGGTTTTATTCTGTTAACTTCACTAAAAGGTACGGAAAATCGACAGAGTAGTTTGTTTTTTCTCTGACAGAAGGTATTGTGGCATGTGCACATAACGTATGTGAATATGTCGCAGACTATGAAAATTGTAATCATAAATGGAGAGATATGCAAAAAGAGACTATTGTCCATCTAAGTTACAATTTTTAAGTATTTTAAAAAAAACCTTGTTACATAATATAATATTACTTGCATTACATCATACTGTGATTTCAAAGAGGTATTTTGATTCTGCCCCCTGAAATTGTGTATTTTTCTTGATGCAAGTAAACATGCGTAGAAATGTAACACATGAAATGATTTTTGGTTATAAATAATTTAATTTTCTTGCAGGCTACTGACAGTGGTGGAAAGTACTCTCAGACGATTGTAGAGGTGACAGTAGTACCTGGTCCCAATACTAGAAGTCCTGTGTTCGAGAGTCCAGTATATGAAGTGCAAGTCAGTGAAGGAGCATCCATCAATTCAACAGTAACAACTATCGCTGTAAGGAAACTTGTAGCCTACTCCTAATGAATAATTTATAATTTTTGTTTAATTAAAAGCATGACATAATTATGGAAGAAGTGGGAGCTTGGGAATTGTACCTGCTATCTCTGAAATTTATTTACCTGTTAAAGGAAAAATATACAAGTACTTTATGAAGTAAAATTCAAACATCTACAGCATTGAGTTCATACAAGCAGTTTTATAGACATTCAGTCATTTTACAGATACAAGTCATTCCTGAAATTAAGTTTCTTTGGGTGATCAACCATACGTATATGGAATTACAGTTTCACATTTTGGAGACTGTCTCTGCCCACATCATCAGGGTACATGTTAGGATCGTGATGTACCCTGATGATGGAGGCAAGGGAAATCTCTGAAACATTGGATTTTAACTCCATACAAATATGGCTGATCATCTGAAAAGACTTCATTACATTTAATCATTATAAAAGCTTCAAATCTTACGTATATCATTCCTACTACTACTGTTGTTGTTATTGCTGGTGTTTATATTGGTCATATTACAATTTTTGTAACTTTTCCAGGCTGTAGATCCAGAAAATGATCCTGTTACATATTCAATTATGTCTGGGAATGATCTCAGGCAGTTTGCAATTGGTGATAAAACAGGGGTCATTACCGTCATCAGAAAATTGGACCGAGAGGACCTGACAAGATACGAGTTGGTACGTATAGACGATGAAGCATATTATTTCCTATAATTTAATATTAATATTACTTTGTTTAAAGTTGGCTTTACGTAACTCCTATAAATTTTCGTAATCTGAGTCTAGCCAAATACTTGGCCACAGGTGAAGGTAAATTCATTGGCTAACTTTGGTCAGATTTATTTATTATACGTCTCAAAGAAAGTCAAAGCTGTGGTCAATGAACTTATACAGCTTGTTCAAATATAACCTGTTTGGAGATTGCTTTGGGTGAAGAAGTAGAGGTAATTAAAAAACAGTCCACATGGGCACTGAAACAGGCAACCCAATGATGCACTAACTGATGGATTCCCTCCTCAAAAGACTGCTGGGCTGTTATTAGAACCACTGTACCACCATGCAGTGACGTCATCTTCTTACCTAAATCTATGGTAAAAGTTCTGTAACAGTAAAGTTACTTTAAAGTAAAAATGCAGTGACTGGAAAGAAACCCAAGAGTCTTTCATCGAAAGAAATGTTATTAACATAAACTGTTTTGTCAGCAAAACAATAATTCTGTCCATAACATCTCCAAATATGAATTGTATGAGCAAGCCAACAATATCACCTAAATACAGAAAGTTTCTTTTGATTTACTTTACACATTCTAACTTAAAGTTTTTAATCTTGGATTATTAGAATCAAGCAGTGGAGCACAGTCTTCTATGATATGATGAATGTCTTTAGTTTAATACAAGAATCTTGGTAAAAGCGCAATGATCTTTGTTTGACAGGTAATAAAAGCAGAAGATACCGGTGGCTTGTCCAGTACTGCAACAGTTAATATCAAAGTAACAGATATTAATGACAAGAACCCAGAATTCACGGATCTTCCATATTTATTCCGAGTCCGTGAAGGTGAAGCGAACAAGAAGGTTGGCAGTGTGCATGCTATAGATGCTGATGAGGGACAGAATGCTGTCATATACTACTCAGTTCCTGAAGACGTTCCATTTAGTATTGATGCCATGACTGGTGAAATACGAACTAAAATGGCACTTGATTATGAAAAACACAGGGTAAGTTAACAAGATGACAGAACTGTTGAAGTCACTACTACACAGTCTTAAAAATGTCAGTATAATTTTTTTTAAATTATGGCTATTACATTAAAAGTTTTAAGAATCAGTGAGGAGAAGTGGAAAGTCAATCAGTTTTGTCGCTTTTCTCATGTTTAAAAAATATTAAATTAGAATTAATTGGAACACTATTATATGTAGAATGACCAAACTAAAATTAGCTCATTTTGTGTCTATTGCACATTGCATTAGCCCCTTTGTTCTTGTACTGAAAGTTTGCATGACAATGCATCACTGCCAGTGAAGTGGATGATTTTACTCTCTTTACTGTACACTCATACTGTGTTACGCTTCAAGTATATTTCATTGCAGCGTGCCTTGTGTCATGCTAGTTTCAGGTTGGCACTGTGTAAGAAGCAGTGCACTAAAGTTCCCCATAAAACAACTGAGGCAGTTCAGTGTAACTCTAAAACAGTGGCATTTTGTATGGATTTTCATCTTCTTTGACATTGATTTTGACTTCATGCAGGAGGAAACAATATTTTTTGTGTTTCAAACTCCAGTTAATAACAATTAATCCTTTTAGTTGAGAGCTGTAAGATGTTAAGGGTGATTTTTACTCTTATGTTTGTCTTCTAATAATGTGAGATAGGAACACACTTAAGAGTTAAATGTATTGAAAAAAGGAATGAAGTTTCTCTTTATTTTCTCCAAATATAAGTCTTGATTACTGTTTTGCAGGAATATCGGTTTGTGGTAACAGCTAAAGATGGAGCCCCTGATCCTCGTATTGCAACTGCTACTGTAACTGTTGAGGTAGTTGATGTGGATGATGAGCTGCCAATTTTCCACTTGATAAGTTATGAAGCGCAGGTCCCAGAAAATATGCCAGATTATATGGTGACACAAGTAAAGGTAGGAATTTTGTCGTAACATGTTCACTACATATATTCAAGACTGCAAGTTAATCATGTCTGTCCATCTTTCTCTCTATGTCATTCTATAGAATAATAAAGCAGTTTCAGTAGGAAGTCATCATACTTTTAGGTTTATTGTAGATGTAGTTTTTAGATGATTTGTTTACCCAAAGGCTCAGGAAATTTAAAATTGAATTGAAGCAACTTTACACCAATATTTAGGTTATATAAACTTATTAGTTGAGTTTTAATTTAATATTTGCTTTATCATGTGAAAGAAATTAATTTATGTTCTATGACGTACAAGAACCTGAATATTGGTATTTTCTATGCTGCCATGATAATTTTTTATTAATTTTTATATGATTCTAGGCTGATGATCCAGATACCAATCAAAAGATAACATATGTCATCAAACAGGGATCTACGGAGCTGTTTTCCATTGATCCTAAAACTGGTATCATTACTACTATTAGAGGACTGGACTTTGAGAAAGAGAGTCAGTATATTTTGGTGGTTGGGACCCTGGAGAACCCGGGGACAGGACCAGGGGCAACAACAAGGGTCATCATTAATGTCGTGGTAATTATACAGTCTACTTTATATAATTAATGTTGTAGATTTACGTCTGAGGGTTAAGATCATCCATTTCTAGGTCATCCCAGGGGTCTAGTGGTTAGTGTTCTAACCTATTATTCAGCGGGTGCCAGGTTTGATTCCAGTCATTGTAACTAATAATACAAAAAACAAAGTGTAAGTGTGGTGACAACCAGTCACCAGAATATGGGAGTAGAGCCAGTTTCCAAAACTTCATGTGTATCAAATATAGCTCAGACAATGAAGAATGACCAATATTGTGTTCCTACATTGAAGAGTCTCACATGAAACCACTCAAGATTAGTAGACTGTATAATATTCTGAAGTCTGTGACACCAAGGTCAGGATAAATAAAATTATGTCATATATTGGTAAATTTCAAGGCCACTGACAGGCTTCTGTATGACAGTTCAGTTAATTTTATTCAAACAAGGGCAAAAGTTAAAATATTCTCATACTTTCATAATTAGATACATAACAATTATGTTATTTTTGATATGCTCCGTTATAAATATCCTCTTTTTGTAATTGGAAAAAAAGTAATTTTTTGTGTGTAGTGTTGATTATTTTTATTATTTCAGGATCGTAATGACATTCCTCCTGTTTTTACGGCTGTCCCTCGTCCGGTCACACTGAATGATGATGTACCTATTGGAACAATTGTTACTACGTTGATAGCAACTGATTCTGATGGGACATCTCCTGGGAACAAGGTACAAAGGATTTATTAAAAGTGAATAACTCCTATCATCAGTCAACACTGTTATTGGGATTGGACATCTGCCGTTAGACAAGTTACTTCACAGAAACTTATCTCCTTGCCATAATGATGTCAAAGACCAAACATCAGATATAATTTCACAGCTTTTAACAGCAATGCATTTCTGTGTATATTACAGGCCACATAGAGAAAGGTTGGAGATAAAAGTCTTCACTGAAACTTAAACAAGTAATGAATGTTGTTTATTTTTAGGTGCGTTATGAGCTCATTGGTCGCGGGAAGGCCCAGAAGTATTTTCAGATTGATTCTGATACTGGTGTTATTCAAGTGAGAGATGATCTTCGGAAGGAAACAAGCACAGAATATGAGGTATACATATGACTTTTATTTGTTTACAGAGTATGGTTTTGTTTGTATCAGAATTAGTTGCGAAGAAACTGAATATGATGTAGTTCAGATGAACATGTTGTTCAGAAATGCTTGAAGAAGTTTTAATCTGGGGAAGAAATGCTGTGAATATTGAGTAGCACTGAAAGGATAAAATGACTGAGCTTTTTCTTAGCTTTTATACTTATGGTTAATGGAAAATGTAGTGTACTATATAGGAATAAGAAAATGGAGAATATTGTTTTAAAATAACTTTTCTGGTGAAACCAATGTGGTGATTTTTCTGAGGACAATTTTTTTACAAATGATATGTTTGATGTAATTAATGTATTTAATTAGTATTACAGTTTATTTTCAATGTTGCATACTCTTTCCAGATTGCTGTTAAGGCTTATGATCTTGGAGAACCACAGCTGTCATCTGTCACTTCAGTACACGTGTATGTGCACCATGTGGCTACAGTTCCACCAGCCCAAGGCATTGGTTTTGCAGATAATTATTATACTGTTGAAGTACGAGAGAATGCAACTGCTGACACACTCATTAAAACATTGACCGTTATAAATAACAGAGCACACGAAGACATCATACCGTTAAAATGTGACATCGTTCAAGGAAATGAAGAAGGCAAGGGATTTTAATAATTCTTCTACTGCTGCAGTATGTTATAGCAGCCATCACCAAATTACACACTTCAAGGCCACAGAAGGACATAATGCCCCTTACTGCACTACTCTACATCAAGAATACAACATTGGTAGCTTTGCTATGCTGCAATTTCTGAGCTGTGACCTTGAAGCGTGCAGTTTGGCCACAGCTACTATATGTAACACATATTCTTATACTAATTATCTTGTTAAAATTACAGGTTTATTTTATACGAGTATCACAGAAGATCGTAACTGTGACTTGTGGCTGAAATCAGCAGACCTTGATCATGAGAAGAAAAGTGAATATCAGCTTCAGGTGAAACTGGATACATTATCAGGACTTGTCAATCCCTCAAAGAGTATTTCAACAGTAAGTATAATATAAGACTTTCAGCTCCCACAACCAGTAAAAGTAATAAAATCCTCTTAAGTGATCAAACCACTTCAGTTTGGAGCAAGAGTCCAGTGTTTCAGAGACATTTTTAAAAAAGTTGAACATCTGCTATGAATGGACACAACTGATTAGAAGATTGTAACACAATAAGTACAATGCTTGCCACACTATAAATCAAAAAAGTATCATTAATTTCCACCATATACTTGGTATGCAGACACCGACACTAAATGTTTTGTAAAAGGGTGAAGTGATTGAATTTTTTATGCATTATGTGTGGTTGTAAATTTAGATACACCTTATACAGAACAGAACTTGTACTTCATATTCCTTTAATCATGACTAACATCATCATTAACTATAATGTGTGTAATGAAAGTATTATTAATCTGCAGGTTAAAGTCAATGTTGTGGATGTGAATGACAACAGACCGCATTTTATCTTCCCTAATGCAAAATTTAATGGAAAATATTTTGGAGCAATATCAGTGGATTCACAGATTGGGACAATTGTGCTTCAAGTGAAGGTAAGCCTCTAAATCACACACAAGAATTGTTTGAACAACAATTTAAAAAAAGAAGTGTTCTTCTTATGAAAATATTTTTTCCTTCATTAGGTACCTTGATGGTGGCAGATATATAATGGCCATGAGAATTAATAAAATATTTAATTAATCTCTAACAAGCTGTAGAAATATAATGTGTCATGTTATATATACAGGGTGAGTCAGAAGTATGTTTACAAACTTCGTGTGTGTGCTCCGGGATCATAAATAAAAAAAATGTTCCTATGAACATAGGGTCGCAAATGTTTCATAGAAATGTTTTTTCTTATTTTTGATCCTGGAATATGCACACGAAGTTTGTAAACATACTTCTGACTCATCCTGTATATAAAATGTGGGATAAAAGAACTAATTTCAATATGCTGTACTAGGTGATCTATTTGCTGTCCCAAATTTACATCAAAAGCAAGTTACTAATAAATAGTTCCATGGAATTAACAAGATAACTGCTGCTACACAGTTTATATTTTTGTTTTATGTGTGGTCTTTTTTAAGAAGCAGTTGTCATTTAACTCCAGGTGTTAATGTATACAGAATCTCATTACAGAAGTTGGAACTTGTTCCAGTGGTTTTTGTCTCTGCTGTATTACATCACATGTGGCATATGATTAAGAAATTGTCCAGTGACAATCAGCTCTCAATTATCTGACAATAGGCTATCGGAAAGTCAGATTTAATGTGACTATTTAAAATTAACAAGCTCTCATGAATTGTTCCATAATATAATGCCCAGTGAAATTTCGTCTTTATTATCAATATGTTGGGCATGACAACTAATACGTGAAGCGGATTTAGTATGTACTGTAGATCAAATGGAGAGTAAAATTATGGGGAAGTCTTGGTGGATGCTAATTAGTTAGGAACAAAATACAGTAATGGCTGATAAAGTATTGTTATATATAAACATTAAAGAAAATTTGTCAAAGACAGATACAAAACAAATGACAGATTTCAGTTTTTGGGTTCTTATTGCTGTGAAGATCTGGACTGAAAATGAAGGAATTATGTTACTCCAAGAATTTTGTTTCCATGTATAAATCTGCAAGTGTCAACCCAAAAAACTACCAATGAAAAATGATAAATTGTTGAAGCAAACTGATAATAGTAAGAGAGCTGACTGTAAACATTTGCCAACTCCATTTTTCTTCAAGTACCATCAGAATTAAATCTGTGTTACTAATCTCACCCAGTGAAGTATTATACTCATTCATTTCAATCTATTGAATAATTTTCCTGCATTAATATTTTCAGGCCGAAGATGCTGATAGTGGTAAATATGGTCAGTTAGTTTACCATATTATACCAAACAACAGTTTCTTTAAAATTGATGAAACATCAGGTATTATCACAACAACAAATACTTTCAGCAGTATGGATCTTAATCAGCTGCCTTTCAGATTTAACGTTCAAGTCATGGATAATCCAAATTCTTCATATGACTCATTCACTGCAGAAGCACCAGTTGTGGTAAGTGACAAAATATGGATGTCACTTGTAATTATGGAAATAATGATATAAATGGTTGAATAATAATTTAGTATATAATAGGCATGTCAAACTCACATCCAGTGGGCTGGTTTGACCCTCTTTGATGATGTATGTGGCCCAATTTGGTTCTTGAATTATGTATTTTGTGTGGCCCATAGTTCTTCAGTTACTATTATTAAATCAAATTTAATACAAAATCTGAAGTTGAATTTTGATAACTGTTACCCAAATGTAAGACTTGAGGTTCTCACAGCGGTGAGTATGAAGATTTCCGTCTTCTGGGTTATTGCGCTGTGTAGTCTGGTTGATGTTAACCAACGTTTCAGAGGTCATACTGCCTCCGTCATCAGGGCGATCTGTTACCCAAATGTTACATGTAACAAGGCTAATAATTAATTGAACAAAATTATTATTTCCTGCTTACTAGCACTTCATCATAAATAATTATTTTCATATTAAACATACAGATAAATTTGTTCCTCCTTAATGTAGTGAATATGCCACGGTGGTCTAGCGGTTAGACCGCTGGCCTTGTAATCCTGGGGTCTCGGGTTCGATTCCCGGCGGTGCCCGAATTTATAACTTGTGTTGGGCAAGGCCGTGGTCTAGGCAACACGCAGTTTTCCTCCGTGGCATCCCAACAATTACTCCATTCACACACAGAAGAAGGCAATGGCAAACCACTTCTGGATCATCTGCCAAGAACGTATATGAACAGGTCCCAGTCCGAGAAAAGGATGGAAGGATCCTGTTCATATGGACCTGTCGTCAGACAGAACGCTAGATAATAGATAATAATGTAGTGAATATTGTTGAAACCATAATCCCATCAGAAATAATTTATTATTATTATTCACAAAATTGAATTGAATTGAATTAAAAATTAGTATTTATTAAAACATCCAAATTATAAAATTACTTTCATAATGATATCAAAATTGCATCCCTCGAAGAATGAAGCCTGTGATGATCACATCAGTTCTCCATATCCACCGGACATTTGTTCCTTTTATTCTCATAATGGACATGGATAGAAATTCCATGTGTATATATAATGTAAGGACTGAATGTCATGTAGGTTGTCATATTTGTAAATGTTATTCAATAAAACATGTACTTGTGATCCTCATGGCAGTGAATATGTAAATTGCAGTGTTGTTCTATTTCTAGCAATCTGCATCAAAGAGAGAATTGTATTTAAATTTAAGTCACTTAATAGTATTGTAATAACTCCTGATACCACATTCAGAATTTGAAAAGAATAAAATTATGTTTTACTTTGTTTCAGGTCAACTTGATATCAGATCAAAATCGCTTGATTCTAGTCATTGATGATGCAAATCCAAAATCGATTCAGCTTGGGACAAGTAAATTAGTAGATATTATGGAGGATGATACAAATTTAGTTATTGGTATTGAAAAAGTTGCAGTTAAACAGTATCTTGGAGACAATGGTACTATTGAACAAGGTCATTCTGGAACTGATGTTTGGTTCTATGCAATTGATCCAGAAACAGAAAAGATCCTTGATAGGAATTCTACAAAAGTCCTTAGGTAATGTATTTTACAAAGGAAATTCAGTACTATTACGAACAATACAAAAATATAAGTTCTAGTTATTTTGTGTTATTTAGTATATGAATGGAGTATAATATCACAGAAAGTATATTAATTACATTTTTAATGACTTTATAAGCATGTGTTCTGTTTTGTGCAGGTCTGTCCTAAGTAAGGATGCCGTCTCGAAAATCACAGTAGATGTGACAGGAAATCTCAATGCTACTGCTTCGGGCATTCACCCACCTTTAACAGTGCCAAAGATAGTTACGGCCATTGCAGTTTCATGGGAGGTTTTCCCATATGCACTCATAGTCATTGCTTGTATCATTCTTGTGCTAGGCATAGTAGGCATTATTTACATCTGCATATCGTGGTCAAGGTATATTTCTTCCATATTTCTTACTTAATTTATAATGTTTAGTATCAGTTTAGTGATCTTACTATAAGTATGGAATACCATAAGTTTTATTGAAATGTTATACTGCACATAAAATTATTCATTGTCGGGACTTTTTCCATCGTCTATTCTTTAAAACCCACGACATTTCGGAGGCTGGTTTTGTCTCCGTCTTCAGGTGAGAGGTACCTACTCTGTTGGATCCCTTACATAGAGCTAGTCTCTGTCACTGGACAGTGAATAATTTTAAGTGTAATCTGCCGTCGTCAAAACCCTTCAGAATTGAATTATACTGCACAATTTAAATTTCCAGGTACAAAGCCTACAAAGAAAGAATGCAACGAATGTATGTTGTTCCACATTATGATCCTGTCTTTGTTGAGCCTAATCTCAAAGAATATGAGACACAGGTATGTTTGAATTATTGTTATGTTAGCAAGAGGTGTCTGATCAAATATAAATATAATACACATAATGCACAGTGGTCAGTGTTGGTGTTCTTCTGGGTTGTAATGCCAGTGTTTCAGAGAAAATTTGGCCCTTATGATAGAGACAGTATGTTTCTTTGAAATATTAATATCTACCTTCAAGTCCACATGGCATTACAACCCAGATGGCAAGCACTGACAGTTATACCGCCATGAAAATCTAAAAATCTCATATAATGGATATGCTGTTTTACAACATGTTTCTGTCCTTGTTGACATAACAGGTTCTTCAGATGAGTGTGCCACTTGATGATAGTGACAGTTACAATGATTTGCAGCTGGACTTCAGCAGTAAAAATCATGCTTTTAGTTTGGATAATGTCAGCTACATTACTAAGGAGAATGGTGACAGCATTGGTAAGAGTTGCATTACTTAGAAAATGTATCCATTCATGAATTCATATAGTCCGATAAGATGCACTGAACTCCTTGATTATAAATTTTTGTAATATGTCGACACACAATTGCAATTGTAGGTCAGCAAAGCCCAGTAAGTTCTGATGCAGCAACAACTGCTCGGGCTTCCAGCATCGCAGGTGGAGTTGATATGGGTCGAGGTAACTCAAGAGGTGAAAGTGACCACAATAATCTAATGGGACATGATTCACCTCTCATGCCTGTAACAAATCCAATGTATCAGAGGTGAGATTTTGTACAATAAACTATCTGTAATTAATTATTGTATTTCATGTAGTGAGATGAACCCTTTCGATCTCTTTCCTGGTGTGTTTCTCCTCTTACATTTATAATTTTTTAATTATCTGAACTAATAACATCTAGGTATATATCTGTGTAATAAATAGATTCTATGCTTATTATACTTGTAAGATTTGAGGTTTTCACAGCTATGAGTATGAAGATTTCTGTCTTCTGAGTTGTTGCGCTGTGTAGTCTGGTTGATGTTTACCAACATTTCAGAGGTCATACTGCCTCCGTTATCAGGGCGTTGAAACGTCGACCAGACTACACAGCGTAACAACCCAGAAGACAGAAATCTTCTTATTACACTTGTGTTTCCAAATATAAAATTAACATAATGCTTCACATTAACACAATAAAAATTTATGTCAAATCAAGGAGATTGAGATGGGTGGGACATTTGGTGTGCATGGTGAAATGAGAAATGCATCCAACATTTTGGTTGGAAAACTCCAAGGGAAGAGACCACTTGAAAGACCCAGACATAGGTGGGGATAATATTAAAATGAATCTTATGGAAGTAGAGTTAGAAAGTGTATGTTGGATTCATCTATTTCTGGATAGAAACCAGTGGCAGTTTCCATAAGAGGTGGAGAACGTTCTGGCTAGCTGAGTGAACTATTGGCTTCTCAAGACAAACTCTTTTCTATGTAGTTAGTTACACAAACCTGTTCCCTACTGTGTGCCAAATATTATTTGGCTTGAGGTCATGTCTCCTCAGGAGTTGAAATCAGGTATCACCATTGGTTCTAGGCTAATAGATATTCCATAATGGAATTTAATTTGATGCTTTTCTTTCCAATTGATCTAATACAACGCTACTGTGGGATAGGAAAAACATATTTTTGATAATCATGAAGTGTAATGCACTCTGCAGGAAAAAAAAAGGAACAGTGTGGAATGAATTTCTAGTACAAAAGAGTTTGACTTATTTATTCTTGTGTATGCTTGCTTTTCAGGTCCTCAGAAGAGGATATTGGTCATATGAATGCAAGTGCCACCAACGAAAATGTAACATTCAGAGAAAAGAAAGATTACTCTCACCTTGGATTTACTTATCTAGGTGACAGGTCCCCTGTGGAAACAACCACAGAACTCTGAGTTCCAGCCAAATCTTTTATATACAGCATCTCTATCATCAAATAAGGACCACAAAGTGTTATACTATCATAAATTATATAAGTAACAAGTGTGGCATTATGATTGTAATTGGTTCATTACACAGAATGAAACCTCAGGCTTTCAATTGTACAGTGTTTTTACAAGGATAAGTAAGTTTCAAAATTTGAAACTGTTAAAGTTGGTTTTACAACACACAAATGTAATGTGACAGATAAAATATGTAAGTAAAAATCTGCCATCTTCATATGCCAAACAGTTTTGGTTATCATAAATGTGTTGTAAATTAAGGTTAAAATCTGATGGATCTTAACAGAAGCAGTGATCATCTATTTTATTAAAACTCTGGGGGTCTAAGAATCATAGAACACATTTGTTCTCTATTTTGGAAGTTTTGAACAGCCACCAATTACACATGGTCACATTTGAGGACTGAAATAAAGATTGAAAGTCTTGAATAATTTACAATCAACCAAATATTTTTTCTATGAAAAGGTATGTGCAATTGTAATAACTGCTGTCTCTTGGCAGTAAGCTCAAATACTCAATGAAAAATATACTTATTAACTGTGTTTATGTATTGTGTCATACTGCGCTGTTGTATCTCTGGTTTCTGATTTCACAATGAATGTATGCCCTTTCTGTGACTTGTATGAAACTGTACAATGAAGCAGAATAGGGAATTACAGTGACAGTTGTAAAAATGACTGTGATTTCAGTATGTTCTCATTATACTGAAATGATTTACAGTGAATTTTGTTAAATAGATCTCTATAGAAATTAATATTATATGACAACTGGCTCATTGCTAGGACAAAAATGTGCATAGGCACAGGTATTTTATTAAATACGATACAATACAATCTTACAGTCAGAATTATTGAATAATAATGGGAAGTTATATGTATGCAAGATTTTTAACAGTATGTTGAAATATTATTTTAAAATGATATTAACATAATGAATCTTATTTTTTGAATTAGAAAATATTGTATTTTATCCTAATGTGAACTGCATTTTGTCATCACTTTTAGTACCTATATAAAATTGTAAAAGTGACAAATGATTCACTCAGACTGCTTCAGTTGAATTTAAATAGTATGTGGGTTACTTAACTGTAGTGTCCAAATAAGACATTGTGTATGGGCTAAACTTTATCGGTCATGTTTATGTAGAAAACCAGAAACTGCGTACAGTGACAATCTATAATCAGTGATTAATTTTTCTAACTGGCTTTACTGTTTTATCAAAGAAACTTTGGCTTCTGTATAATAAAAAAATACAAAGAAGATTTTATTTTTTTTATAAAAATTGCACCATCATAAAAATCATAACTTTTGAACAGTTTCTTTAATGTTCTTGCTACATTCAAAAGAAAGAAATTTTCAGTTAAGCCAGTGAGATGGATGCCAGTCTATTAGCCAGAGGTCATGCAATATTAGACATATTCTGATTACCGAGAAAGTTCACAGAACTCTAGCAAGTAACAGCTTGTAACAAGATGCTAAAATCCACCTATAGTTATAGTCATAAGTGGTGTTTGATTTGGAATGAAAGTTGACGCAGACTAAAATTATTAAATTATGTCCAATCTGTCTGTAAAGCTGATACATGCTTCTTTGTACTTGTCATACAGTCTGCACACTCTGAAGTCAGAAGGTAAGATGGATCATAAGTGGCGACAGTTACACACATAATTGTAATTTACTGTCACTTGATTTTTCAGAGGCAGAACCATGCACATGTCATAGGATTTGCCTTCATGTTGTTTAAATTCTTTCTGTCCCCCACAAACATTGTCTTACCCTCAGACTTAAGACTGTTCAGACAAAGTGACAACAAAGAAGGAGTCAATTTTTTATCATCTTACACCTGGGATGTATGACTGCACAAGCAAGGATGAGCATGTATGGATAACTGAACAGGCAAGTAGTGTGTCAAGTATTCAGCACCTTTTTTGTAAATCTTTTTAAAATGTGCTGATAGTGCCAACGAATCTTCCATGTATTTAAATCTTAAGACTAGGAATAAACATAGTATATGGTTGTTGGCAGGGCTTGATCTATATAAAGAAATTAACGGCAGAATGCCACATTATGAAAATTCAATACTCAAAAATATAATGAGGTAGTAAATAGACTTTGAGTCTCTTTGTATCAGTTTTCTTTTTAGATTCTGATGATTTTATAGGAACTGTAAGTACACACCATTTCTTTTGGTATTAAGCCCTGCGTGTGTTTTATGTATGAAGAATATGCACTGAGCTCAGTTAGACAAGTTCCCAGACAAAAGAATTACACCACAAAGCATTATTCTAATATGTCCTCAGTTTTAAATTATGTTATAATAAATATTTTTTAAATTATGTGGTTGCATTCATTAAAGTTTTCCCCTACAATATCAACACCAAATCTTCCAAAATAGGCAGCATACAACCGATAATCATCCTCTACAAAAACTGAAGCTAAATCCGTTGGAAATGAGATTCTAAATGTAGATAGATTTCAAGAAGTGTATATTAATGCACCTTTAAAAATGTTATTTGCTGAGATTATTTTAATTGGAAGGTTCAGACTTCTTGTAAGGAACAACTTGTTAGTGGTGGAATTTAAACATGCAGTGAATACAGTTCATATTCTGCACTGGTAACTCTCACTTGTATAAAATGTATATAGTCTGGTATTTTAGAAACCTGTCTTACTGTTCTCAGTGTCACTTAATGTTATTTTAAAATTAGGGTTGTAGTTCTTTACTTTGTATTTTGCATTTACTGCAGTAGTTGCAGTCGAGTGTGTATATATGTTAATATTGAATAAATAATAATGAAACACATTGGCATATGCAGCTCTGTTATGAGATACACATTCAACTTTTAAGAGAGCTGTGTTTTGCGGTTAAGATGTGTAATATTTAATTTCATAATCAAAACCAATTTTATTATAGTCTTCATGTGAAACAAGTTGAATTAAATATTTAAATTTATTTCAGATGAAAATTTGGAGAATTGCCTGTCCAGATATATTTTCAGCATTTTGATTATTGTCAATGAAGTTTAAGGAAAGTAACATATTTCTTGATTTTCTGTATATATTTGTCATTTAAGGGTATCAGATGTTAACAAACCTTTACTGTGAAGTTGTGTTGAAGCTTTTATTTCAGTTAAGACTGTATAAAGCATTATTTGTAATGTAGTGTACATATAAAGATGAACACTGATACATCTTGACTATTATATTTCTTAAAGTAGTAATAATCTTCATGTGTAGTTCTGTTACTTTGTGTGAAATGAGGAACTGGAGTGCAGTGAAGTTTTTGTTTCGTGTGATGAATAGCTTATGTAATTGCTGTAATGAACCAGAACAATTAGAGCAATGTGAAGTGAATAAATGTGATTCTGTATCATTGGACTTTTATCAAGAGATAAGTGTACTGTCTGACATTGTTTTATTAAAATTAAATTATTGATGGATTTGGATATTTATATAAAGAAAGTGTTTTCATTACTGTGAGTGACTAGGGAGTCTGAATAGAGATTCAAGCAATTTTACACAGTTTTGAATGTGTTTACACACAGTGTCCTGTATTACCATGCCAGAAAGTATATGTTTTTCCTTATTTCCTTTAGATGAATGATGGTAGAGTGCTTTAAAGACTGAACCATGACTACTCACCCAACTGTAACATAACTGTATGGTAGTTGGAGGGAACAAGAATTTGTAAAGAATGTGGCAAATCTGTTTGAAGGTAATTTTACAGGAGAAAGTTAAAATTGGTTATATAAAAATTGGCATTGGAAGAAGAGGTTCTAAGGATGTAAACTCTACTGAACTGGCTCAGGTGGAAATTTGATGTGGATTGATGATTGCTGGTTCCGATCCGCCCCACCTTGAAATGCATATAATTATATGAACATTTTATTGAAACAATAAGTGGATAATCGGTCATGTCAAGACTGACCATGAATCTGTGTAAATAGTTAATTTTCATAACTGATTTATTATGCTGTACTGAAATCTTGAGCAAGATAATGCCTGGCATACAATTCGGATTTGAGTAACATATAATTACTTCGCGAATTATAGAAACATTGGGGTGGTCTTGATCATTTTTAATACGTTAGTGGGCGAGTTTAAAATCGAACTCTGCCACTTCATATCTTTTCATTAAGTCATTACATTTTTATGGCATCTGACTCCTAAAATACGACATTGTCTTTGAATAACCTGTGTTAGGAGACTTTGGAGGGTACATCGTTTGTGCTGCATCCTGGCGGTCGAATGCAGAAGTGGAGTATTCTAAACCGATGAGTTTATGACCAGTGTTGCTGTCACAGATTACTTAATAGACTTGGGCACCTAGCACCGATTTCGTTTTATTCAGTATGGTGGGAGTGTTTGATGAAAGCGTCATATCGTAGTCTTAAAATGTAATTTCCAAGCACCAAGTTGGACTGACGGCCAGAGCTGTGTATTCCAAAAAAGTGATAAAGGTAATTATATAAATTCAATGAAATACTTATGGCAATACAGCCATTTATTAATTCAACTTTCTGAATACATGAGACTTTCAGCCCTAAAGTATATATCAGGAGGTAGAATAATCCTGCTTTTTAACTTATATAATATCAAAATATTTTAGCCTAAACGTCTGTTGCTTATGGAAAGGGATGGTAGTTGCTGCGTTATCATAATCTGCCTAGGGTTAACAAGGTTGGAAGGGCAAGAATTTTGTGTACGATTTTATGTTTTCCGTAAAAGTTTAATATCTAGGACATATGTCGATTTTGGTCTTCTTTCTGTAACTCTGTCTGGACCTATAGGTAGATACCAACACAATGTTACAACCCAGAAGATCAACATTGACTCTTTACTGTCATGAGAACCTCAGATCTAATCTAGGACACATTTATAGAAATAAATGTAGAAAATCGTGTGTGTGTTTGTGGTCAGTGTGGTAAACAGAATGAAGGATTAAACAGTTGATAACACATCTCTTCAAATGCAGTAAGTGTTTGAGAACAAATAATAATAAACAGTTCAATATGAGAGCAGTTTTTAGTACCACTTTTATTCACATCAAAGGAAAGTTTGAAAGGGTTGTCTTTTATCAGTTAGAGCAGTCTATTTCAAATTGCAAATCATCCTAAAAGTGTATGTATTGCATAATGTTGCTTGTCTCACCAATCAAAGAATATTCTCAGATATGTAGATCAGTATGAGTGTGCCAGTGTTATGACCTGAAGTTATCACTGAATTAACCAAAGCCCTCCACCAGTTCTTGTCGTGGACCATGGCCCTGCCAAAGAGTCTGCACGGTTCTGAGGCTTGGTAAAAAAATTTTGTATGATGTGATCATTTTATTTTCCTTCTTATCATGTATCGGCATACATTTTGGTGTTCTTTATGCATTAGCAACAGCGAAGAACACCTTATGAGCATGTTCATTTCTCTGTTTGTCTGTCGTGTGTTTTGGCCCCTCTCCTGTGATGTCCTTTGTTACTCGAGAATGTCTGAACTGATTTTCATAAAATTTGCTACGGACTTTGTCATTAGCGAAGTCGTGAGGTGGGACAATGATGTCGCCATTACAACAGTCTGTGTATATGTGATGTCATGGGCCTCAATGGTGAAACCCTAGATAACGTTAGAAAGTGTTGGATTGCGGAGTAAAGAACGCCGTTTGGAATTTTTGGTGTTCTCCGAAGAGGACACCTTTCCAGTCTTGCATAGTCCTTTGTGCGCATTCTCCAGCGATGGTTCTGGTGCGATGTCCCAGTTGTGGCCCATCCCTGAGTGCAGTCGGGCGTAGCTGAGATCAGCTTCTGTTCGCTTATAGAACACCTTTTAAACCGAACCTCATCTGTAACTCTCGCCTACGGCCACCCACGCACCTTTCCAGTAGGTGGTACCCCGTTGTAACTAGTTCCGACAGTCGAATGTTAAATGTTCTTCGTAATCGCATTTAATACCACTAAAGTAAGATAGGTGGCGACTTTGTGAAGTGTTATGAATATTTATGTAGTCCGTAAAGAAATAATTTAAGGCGCTGATCTGGCGTATTTGATTTTCGAAATTCATTGGTAATTTTTATAGGAAACTAAATAATCAGGCCGAGTATTGAACCCCGGATTACTTAGTAGGCCTGCTAACAATTTTATCCCAGCACTCGGTTTCTGCCAGAATTTGACGTTTTGCCTCCACATAACCTTTCGAGAAATTATACCTCGTTTCAGATATTGAGTAATACACACACACACACTACTTTACTTGACACGTGTTGTGCCGGTGGCTTGCAGTTGGCGTAATTTTCTTTTCGCTTTGTGCGAGTCCCAGCCAACGTCAAAGCCATTTCAAGTAAATCCTGACGGAAAACTTTGTAGTTCAAAGGGAGCATTTATACGGTATCGGTTGTGGTAAATGATACATTTCTTTCTCAGATTTTAATGTCATTTTACATGTTGTTTCCATGATATTAAAACGTGTTTCAAGTCTAGAAGTGGTGTTTGTGATCACGTTACTTAACGATATTACTTTAAACTGAATCGGCCTCATTTAACTGCAATATGCCGCCTTATAAATTTGTAATAGGCCTGTTTATTCTCTAAATCATCCTGTTTTCTATTATATTGTACCTTGCATGTTATTTTTTTATGTCTGTCCGTGTTAGTTTATTGTGAAACACGAATTTAGTGAAGTTATTACTGCAGAGTGTTATAGGTCTATTTGTAACATAATACATGTAAACATTTGTGTGACAAGGGAAAAGAAGATGAATTTTCATGTCTACTCGTAAGAGTTATACAAGATATCGAGAAGTTCCTACGAGAACGTGTTTACGATTTGTCGAACTTAAGTTAGCCGGATACATGTACCATAATAGTCTGTCTTATCTAAGACCTAGGTTGATGTTTGCAATCATTGATGCCCCAAAGTTCTTAGCAGTGACTCTGGATAGCAAAATGTTGTATTTTACTAGTGTTGGCTTATGCCATTAGGCAGATTTTGAAAGCTAGTCAAATATGACTGGCGAAAACGTTAAAATAACGTAGTACGTTGACGTGTCATTATTGTTATAAGTCGAAGGGGATGCTAAAGGAATACACGGAAGAAAGGGTGGAAGGATAACGAAAGAAAATGTTCCCAGTTGAATTTCAACGGGGTATTCATACTTGTTAACGATAAGCAGAAACGGTGGGATGTCTCTCAGCAACATAGTTAACGTTATCACCTAGTACGCGGAGACACACACTGTGCGTAATTATTTTGTTCCAACAGTTTATACAAATGTGTAATATTTTCAAGATTTTACAGTTTTCGTTTGGATATCTCCCACAGAGCCAAGAGTGGGAAAGTAGGGTCCATATTTAGGTTGCCACATTTCACTGTTAAAATGCGAAATTTTAATTTTTTGTGTTTGTTCTCTTATAGCAGATCCTGAAGATTTATCATCAACGACACTAAAGCTTGTCGTTGGTCAGTAACGTTTATCTCATATTCTCACAGCCCTGTTAGTATAAGAACAGTTTATATTTCCGTCCAACCTCCAACTTCATCTTTCACTGAGGGTTCAAATCTGTTGTTGCATGGCTAACCACAACATACACTACCATTACATATAGACAGAAATGTTTTCCTCTGCCATAAATCTACTCCAGTTAGTCAAAATTGAATCTCCTTCCTTAGTGTGGACTCTGGGAGAAAGCTGGACGCTCATACCGTCAAGTCGGGCCGACCCATAACGCTGAAGTTTCTTTCACGGCTGCGCTGTCTAGAAAACTTTACTGTAAAAGTTGTAGATATTACTGGGATCCGTAATTTATGTTTCATTTTATACCAGTGTGTTTTAGGACCCGTTGTGAAAACAGTTCGATTGCGGTTTCTTGTATACTGTGTATTATACGAGGTGCTACCCAAAAGTTCGGGGAATTTTAATTCCACGCGCGAACCGGTTGTGGAATGGCCTGCCGCCGCCAGAGGGGGCGAGCAGTACCCTTTGTGAATTAGTGTGCCGACAACCGTGAAGGCGAGAGGCCGCGTTCTTGAGTTTCGAGCGTTTTTGTGACGTTGTGTTGCAGTGGTTCCGCGATTTTTTTAAACCTGCGTAAATGGCAGATTTTAAGGAGCAAAGAATTTGCATCAAATTTTGCTTTAAGCCTGACCTCGCCCCCTGCGACTTTTTCCCCGTTCCTCAAAATGAAATTCCGATTGAAAGGCCGTCGTTTTGACACAATTGAGGAGATCCAGGCAGAATCGCAGGAGGTGCTTAAGACACTCACACTTGAAGACTTCCAGGGATGCAAGGAATCGTGGGAAAAACGCTGGGGTCGCTGTATCCACGCCCAAGGGGACTACATCGAAGGAGCCGATGGAAACTAGGAGTTATGATAAGAAATTTTTTTAAGGGCAAATTCCCTGAACTTTAAGAGTAGCACCTCGTATGGTATCGATGTGAACCAATATTAAATTAGCCAGACTTTTAGCGTGTTTGCCAAATACAAACATTTTACGACAAGTCGCTTGTACTAAGCCACAGTGCTTTGTTCTGTAGGCATTGATTGGAGATATCGTCTTAAAGTGACGTCACCTTTAAAGATGCACAGTCAAATTATTCCTATCGGCGTAATGCCTCTCTCAGATACTCCATGCTAGGGTCTTTGAAATGTTAAAAGCTGTAGAATCGTAGCACTAGGAACTTCAGCGATCTTGTTACAGCTCGTAGAAGTTTAAACCAATGCAGTAAATTGTTTGGTAAAGGATAAACTTCGATTATTGTAAGCATGGGTAGAGCTTTATCCCTTGGTTATAAAACAGTAGTGTAATTCAAGTTACATTTTCAGTCACAATCTGGTATTAATTACAGATTAATATTCTCCTGTTTAATTCTTCATGTTACATGTAAACCGTTTCGTCACCGATGTGTATATTAACGTCTGCATTTGTCATTATCACACAGCGAAATTAAAGTAAGATCTCACAGCAATTGCGCATGAACTTTAACATTATTTAAGATTTGTGGTTTTCACAGCGGTGAGTATGAAGATTTCTGTCTTCTGGGTTATTGCGCTGTGTAGTCTGGTCGATGTTAAAAGATGTTTCAGAGGTCATACTGCCTCCGTCGCCCTGATGACGGAGGCAGTATGACCTCTGAAACGTTGGTTAACATCGAACAAGACTACACAACAACCCAGAAGACAGAAATCTTCATCGCCCTGATGATGGAGGCAGTATGACCACTGAAACGTTGGTAAACATCTACCAGACTACACAGCGCAACAACCCAGAAGACAGAAATCTTTAACATTATTACCTGAAGAACTTCTTACTCTTCATATAACACTGAGAATGGTGCTTGTCTAAGTACGGTCAGGCAGTCTTGCAGTTCACGAGATAAGAAACTTTTTTGTTTTCAACACATGCTGTTGTAGTGAAATATAATATACTGAAAAATTTTTGACCATTGAACCGTATAAGTAATGGTAGAAGATGCTGAGGAGGTTTTAACTTTATAGATTGATCAGTAGATGGCTTTGATTGATGTGGGGAAGTGTGTGTGTGATAGAGGGAGTGTTGTTCCCATATATCTTTTGGTGACGTAGCGTGACATTATGGATATAAAGCGAATTTCCCAGTCACATTGATCGCTGACGATTTGAAATGCAGTAAAACCATTGCTTTGTTAAACAGTGGTTGTGCTTGCTGAAATAGGGTTTTTGGAGTGTTAATGAATGTTTATTTCTACGGTAAGTGACGATGCAGACTGGGTTTTGCATTTGGAGGAAATAAATTATAATCATTTAAATTTTTATTTGTATGGACTACCGTATTTTTTAATACTACACAGTCTATAGAAACGTGACTTATTTTATCTAAATCTAGTGTTGCCATCCGTGAATTACCAGAGCCTGCATATTAATTTATAAGACTAGGAACTTCTTCTTCTTATTATTATTAAGTGTTCTGTCTTACGACAGGCCCATTGCTCTGCCCAAAAAGAGCTCTCCAGTTTTCCCTATTCTCGGCTTCTCGTTTTAATTCCTGGAACGTCATCTTCTTTCCTTGTTTAAGATCGTCAGGAACTTCTAGGATGAAGTTAATTTGTGACAATGGATGTTTTGTTTCTGTTGCCAAAAATGGTGAGATAACTAACTAACTAACTAACTAGATGGCTTACCGAACCCGAAGGTTTATCACCGAATTAACCAAAGCCCTTCACCGGACCCTGTGCTGGGCCAACAAAATCCAGTTTCCTTCAACTCCTATCTCCCATAGATCCCGCCTGAGATTATCCTCCCATCTACGTCTAGGTCTCCCCAGCGGTCTCTTCCCCTCAGGCTTCCCAACCAGTACCCGGTGCACACCTCTTGTCCCATCCATGCGCGCTACATGCCCGGCCCATTTCAATCTTCAAAATGGTGAGATAACGTAACATTACTAGTAGTTTAACGGGGCAACCATGTTGTGGTGCATGAATAACGAATATGTCGACCGGAAGTGATTTAGATATTCTTTGCTGTGGTGAGAATATTCTGTGAGAATGTAACTTAACGACTACAGATGCATTTTACGACAGTGGTTTAGTTGTAATATGTGCGTCCATTTGAGTGACACACATGTTCAGACAGCAAATTAAAGCTTGAATGCAAATTAGCGTAAGCTGTTAGTTGTAGTGGTAAATGCAAATTATATTACGACAAAATTTGTACCATGTCAAATAATCGAGGCGTATGATCAACCGGGGGGAGAAACAGTGCGTTAAACTGAATGATTAGGTGAATGCTTGGTCATATCAGTTGTAAGAAACTGTTGCAGCGTTCATATGAGATATGTTTGTTGGTTTTAATATAATTTTTAAGAGTTGTTTTAATTCTTAACGAATGATATATACGCATTTGAAATAAAACGTTTCTTATAAATGTGTTTATTAATCTCGTTTCATGTACGCCTGTATTTAAAGAAATATATGAAATGGTTTGAGCCACGGTGGTCTAGCGGTTAGAACGCTGGCCTTGTAATCCTTGGGTCTCGGGTTCGATTCCCGGCGGTGCCCGAATTTGTAACTTGTGTTGGGCAAGGCCGTGGTCTAGGCAACACGGAGTTTTCCTCCGTGGCATCCCAACAATTACCCCACTCACACACAGAAGAAGGCAATGGCAAACCACTTCTGGATCATCTGCCAAGAACGTATATGAACAGGTCCCAGTCCGAGAAAAGGATGGAAGGATCCTGTTCATACGGACCTGTCGTCAGACAGAACACTAAATAATAATAATAATTAAATGGTTTATTTAGCTCTTAATATAAGCTACGTATACCATAGCAAAATTCACAAATATATGCATTGATTTAGAAACTGAAAAATGCGATTAAGCGGACATACACGCGCGATCTTCCCACAACACGTGCTTCGTTTGGAGCGAAAATAATGTGATTGTAGTCACATTGCAGAGGCATAGGTGGAAAAGTACGGATATATATGCTTAATCGGTTTTGTTGTGAGTGGAGAACGCATTTTGAGTAATGAGCTATAAAACGACATTAAGATTAAAATGTAATTGTTAATGCTGTTGTAGATTAATCCCATGGTTAAATTTTAATTTGTAAACTCATTTGGTAAATACTATAATTTAGTTTTCGTTGCATGTTTGTCGATAGACGTGTGCATCAGTTGTTAAACCAGTCTAGTACCACATGCATTACACCGATTTAGTTTCGGATTTGTCGTTGGTGAAGTATTTTAAAAATTAACCTTTGAAGCCCAAGATAAATATTATTTATTCCGCCCCTACCTAAAGGAAACACAACACTTCACCATTACAAATATCAAACCATTGAACACGCTATTGCGTAATATACATTCTGAAGTTAAAGCAGGTGATATGTATAGTTACTATAGGGCTCTGAAGGGCGAACAGTACAAATCTTTCCGACTTATTACCATCTATCTACCTTACTTCGAAGCATCTCAGTTAGTTGTGCTGAGTATCTCTTTTGTTCCTTCCGCAAACTCAGAGCAACAACAGGACAATTGATTATTCCTGCACTGTTTTGAAGATTTACAGGACTGTTATGCCCGACTTGTGCTCTGACGTTCCCCTGTTGGAATCACGGCCCCTACAGTCTGTATTCTGTACTTTTGCTCAGTCCTTCCAGGAAGATGCCAAAATAGTGTCTTTAAATGGACCATGACAATTTCTTGTCCAATTCTGTCCAACTCTGTATGTATAATATTATTTTCATCTCATTAAATACTACATAGACACTTGAACGTGGTTATCCAGTTTACTTTTTGGACGGGGGCTAATAATTCCCCAACGTAAAAAGAAATTTCCAAAATGTGCGGGTTTGCGATTCTGTACGATTCGAAAATACCACAGTCGCTTGAAGATGCCAGATTCACACTGCGACGAATATGAAGTCGACCGTCTTCTGGGATCTTGCGCCGTGCAGTCTCTCAGACATTTACTGATATTTCAGTGGTAATTACCGCCTCCATCATCGCCCTGATGATCTTCATCATCGTTGTAGAGGGGGACAGAGACGGCAAAGAGTGGTTTCGTGTACAGTACCGTATAGCAGCGTAGCTAACTGTCACGTCAATAAGGCAGAGTTTGTTAAGTCGCCATGAACACTATCGATGCAACGGGAAATAGCGTTTAAAATACACAATGAAAGGATTGTCCTATTTGATTTGCTAAACAGATATCTTATAATAGCAGTTGTATATATGTGTTGTGGACCAGAATTTAGTAAATGGAACACGCTGTGAAATATTTCCGCCGGTAAACAAGTAATAAAAGTTGAAGATTTTCGTCTTCTGGGTTGTTGCGCTGTGTAGTCTGGTCGATGTTAACCAACGTTTCAGAGGTCATACTGCCTCCGTCATCGCCCTGATGACGGAGGCAGTATGACCTCTGAAACGTTGGTTAACATCGACCAGACTACACAGCGCAACAACCCAGAAGACGAAAATCTTCAACTTTTATTACTTGTTTACCGGCGGAAATATTTCACAGCGTGTTCCATTTACTAAATTCTGGTCCACAACACATATATACAACTGCTATTATAAGATAAGAAATCTTCATCGCCCTGAAGATGGAGGCAGTATGACCTCTGAAACGTTGGTTAACATCGACCAGACTACACAGCGCAACCCAGAAGACAGAAATCTTCATACTCTGATGACGGAGGCAGTATGACCTCTGAAACGTTGGTTAACATCGACCAGACTACACAGTGCAACAACCCAGAAGATAGAAATCTTCATCGCCCTGATGACGGAGGCAGTATGACCTCTGAAACGTTGGTAAACATCGACCATACTACACAGCGCAACAACCCAGAAGACGGAAATCTTCATACTCACCGCTGTGAGAACCTCAAGTCTTACAAGTAATAAAAGTTGTTAAGTGTTATGGTACCATTTAAAACGCAACCCTAGAACAATAACCTACAACGATACAAAAGTTAAATCATAAGCAGTTCCACCCTAATGTAATAGACTCTTCTTAACGCCGATTTTTAACACGTGTTTGCAGAGACAGATACGCCATCACCTACTCTTTTGTTTTGTGTATTTTTTTTTTCGAATCCTGTGTCTTCATAGTCGGAACCATTAAATAAATACCTTTACAGCTTTTGTATGCGTGTTGAAGTGTTTTTGCAGTAACAAATGCGTCTCGTCTGTCTCTCAGTCATAAAACCCAACGTCAGCACCTAGTGTATGCTCTGATGTTCATTTTCTGTATTGTCAGGGAACTGCGCGTATATGAAGGAGTGGCCATGTGTGATGTCATGAATGGGATGACGGTCGCCAGTGTTCTGTGGACTGTGGTGATGGTTAGCGGCTGCAGTGGACAACGCGCGGTGTCCACGTCAGGCTGTCAAGCACAGTTTCCGCCAGGTAAAGTCCAACGCAACTTCACCCAACTTGTCTGTGTTTTTATATCTGAGTGTTTTACGTCATTCTTACGGTACTTTTCCACATTTTCATCCCCAAGTTTCAAGCTACTAAAATAGTGATTTGCGTTGTTGGTGTTTGTTTACGTGTATTTGATCGTCACGCAAGGAACAGGGTGTTTGTAAATGTTGGATTAATTGTGGTTTTTATAAATTAGTGTTAATTTCTTTACTGTTTTGTTTACAAACCTTGTTGATGTGTGCAATGCTACTTGTGAGGTTTGAGGTTCTAATTTCTGTGAAGATAGATACTTGAAGAATTTGGAATTATTAACAAGGATTATCATTATTCGCACCAAAACATTATCCGTGCTTATATTTACTCAATACACATCGTGAAAGGTGTGTACCCGACATGGCCTATCCAGTGTGTACTGAGGGCTCCTTGTTCGGTCGTAAAGCCGCCGGAGCGTGAAGCTGATAATTGACCTCAATTTAGTGCCAAAGTAAAGTGCGTGGAGGAATGCTTTCACAGTGCTTGGCTTTAACCTACCTTTCTACTTATACACATCCGTCTTAATCTTAGCGTATTAAAAAGTAGACGATGAACTGCATAATCCAGACTAAGCGGTCGAGTGATTAGAGGTCTTATCAGACAAATATTAGGCTAATTCTTTGAATTAGACCACCGACAGTTCCTTCTACATCCATTCTGATGGAAGTACCGTTAAATAAACGAACCTCATAGCAATGTTAACATTACTTTATTTTTTTAAACCAAATTTCATAGTCAACCTCAATTATTTCCAAATATTCCCAAGTTTTAAAACGTTTTAAATTATCTATCTACAGTAATTGCTGCACGCAAAAACATTTTCGTTCCGATCTGTGTTAGACGAGTGGCCATCAACTCCACACAACAGTTAGGTGTCCGACAGAACCAATTACGAACGTGTTGTGAAGAAGTTTCCTATTGATATTCAGGCCTTGTAGTCGCATGTAGGCTAACAGGGACAGGTCCTCCTCTCTAGAAACCTGCTGTACCTGGTGTTAATTTGCTGCTACTAAGTATTCCGTTGCTACCGCTCGCCCTCAGACGAAGCCTCGGATGGGTGGATTTCGCATTCTACATATTGGCAGTGTTTGCAGGATATAAATTACACTTCCGCAAATGTTATTTGTATAGTCCCCGCGAGAATTAAGTAAAATGCATGTGTCATTGTGACTGGGAAGTCGCGTGTTGCGTTACTAGCAGACCGTAACACGTAGTCCTCGTGCTGATAATGATGGAAACGAACGATACGTAGTTCTGGCGGTATAATAGCACCATAACTATTATAAAATAATTATAATTCAATTAATTTCATTTATTTAAGTGATTGACAACAGCCAGATAAGGCCAATAACAGTCAAGCACTGACAACAGTACAGAATAAAATATAATAATAATAACAAAAGTAAAACATTACAAATATAAAATCAAACAAATGAAACTAAATATATAAATGTACCACATTAATAATAATTCAATTCATTTATTGAGTTTTAATTCACAAGTAAATGGGCTAAATAATATGCCTAAGTAATATAATAATTCAATTCATTAATACTAAAAAACAATGAACAATAAAATTAATTTAAATTAAATTATTTGGTTATTCCGTCAAATCACAATGTATTTAAAATAAGATAATTAAAATAATTAAAATATCATTCTGTGTTCCATATCGAATAATCGATTCAGTATTAAACCTTGATCGGATACGGTAATACTTCTGGATCACCTCCAGACACAACTGTGTTGTCTACTATTTCATCTCTGACCGATGTAAATATCAAAAGCATCACTTCAAACAATACAGTTGATCCATTATATGAAAATATCTGGACACGACCTCCAAAAAACTACACTACGAAAAATTGTAAAAAATTGTAATTGAGTTTTAAATTTAATATAATTTTACTCCTGATGATGGTTTAATAAAACCGAAACATGTTGTAACTGTTCCAATTGTAAATCGATTATTCGATATGGAACACAGAATGATATTTTAATTATTTTAATTATCTTATTTTAAATACATTGTGATTTGACGGAATAACCAAATAATTTAATTTTAATTTAATAAATCACAATATGACGCAACTACACTATCTTAATAAAATTAATAACAAAGTTAATGAATTACTATACTACGAACAGCGAAAAACAAAAAACACGTGGGAGAAATATGTTTTTACGTAAGACTAATGTTTTCCACATGCGCACCGGGCGGCCTACGTCACAGGCGTTTACTCACGTTACTTTTCAACGCTAATGGAATCTTTTGAGCAGTGTGCCGAAGAGAATATTTGGAGCAGAGAGGGAAGAGGTAATAATATAATGGAAAGTACATGATAAGAAGCTTAATAAAACAAGGAGGAAGATATGGGCGGGGTATGTAGAATGAATGGTAGTTTCAGGATTTTGATAGGAAAACCTTAAAGGTAAAGAACACTTGAAAGATGTAAACGTAGATGGAAGGATATTATTAAAATTAATATTAAATAGGGTGTAAGGGTGAGGAATGGATTTATGTGACTTGGAGTAAGAACCAGAAGAGGGCAATCAACCTTCTGTGTCAGTGGAAGGCGATTATTGTCTTCTCAAGAAGAACTCGGGCCTCATGTATTAGTTGAGAGGGTCATTGTGCCAGTATTGTATTAAGTAAGATGTCATCGAGGTATATGTTTCAGAAATAATCAGAAGTCTTAGTTTGAAGATACCTCGGTGATCACACACACAATGAATACAGTTTAATTAAAAATCACAACATCCGTTGTTATGAAGGCTGCTTCCACGAACACAATTAGACGGAAATTTTTTACTCTTGTAACGCCATAGAAAAGAATCGGAAATTTGCGATATACACAAAAATTAAATTGCTATCGAAGAATTGAAATCTGTCGTTTTTTTCATTGCTTAACGACACATCCTGCAGAAATTACGTTGCGTTGTCGGAATTAAATGGGACGGTGATAATGGACTATAAATTTATTAAAATGGTTGTTTCAATAGCTGCGTGGAAGTACCGAAGGATTGTTGTCAGTGAGATCTGTAGTGGATAGTGGGCAGTGGTGGACAAGTGGCACTTGAACAGTTGATTTTCATGTCAATACAACCAACTCTCGGTTTACGAACGTTCGATTTACGAACATCCGCTATAACGAACGTCACAATTCATTCAAAATTTCTTTAATTCGCAAATAGATAGAGTTCCTTATAAAACGACGTGTCAAACGTATAGTGAACATAATTGTAAGATTTGAATAAATAAACTTTTAAAAAATGTATTTATTATAATAATTATAAAATAATTATTATATTATAATTATACTTAACTGTTCTTGGTTAATAAAACTAATCTAGGCGGTATAAAAACTTTGGTTTGCATGCCACGCCGCGTAGAATGTTTTCTCGTGGGAAAGAATTCGGTGATTCCCCCTGTTATAGTATAATAGGATCATCACTTGCTTTGCCTATGTTATCTTAGACGGTCAAGTGTAGTTCTGCATTTGGTGACTTAAAAAATATTTTTAAAAATTTATGCCGTCAAGGATCCAAAGCGAGATACACATAACGAACAACGTCTTGGAACGGAACTCGTTCGTAAATCGAGAGTTGCCTGTATCGTGTTTTACCACTGCTCCGTTTAGGAAAGTTTCATGAAGATAGGAGTGTGACTTCAGTGATCGTAACAAAATACAACTTAAATATGATATATTAATCTATTATTGGATACCTTTAACATTATTAAGTCTGTGTTTTTCCATTACTTATTTTTTATTATTTCTTTTGACACAGTAATTCAGCAGAAGAAATAAACTCATGAAAGGCCTTCTTCATTTTATCACTCGTGTCTTCTTATCTGCTCTTAGAACATTTTTAGGGCAGAGGTACAATACTACAGTAAAACCTCTCTAACTTGGACACTTGCGGTTCCACGAAAATGTGTCCAACTTACAGAGGTGTCCAGGATAGAGGGAAAGGGGAAAATCCTCCTTTCAAATTGTGGTGTAATGACAATGTGGTAATTGTAAATTATTATGAAGCCCTTCCCAAAAACGAAATTATTGATAAGAAAAATCAAAAGTTTAAATTAAATTTTTACAAACTTTGTTTTCAGTAAATTAAACTTGCATGGATAAGCTCAACGGGAAGGGCACCAATACTTTACGTTTACCGACAATGTAATCTAGTTACTTACATAATCTAACTACTGTAGGCTTGCTTGAATTAAGAATTAATGACAATAATAATAATCTTTTGAAACCCACTCTCATGGTTGCATTACACCCCAGCCTCAATGAAATTTTAAATGTTCAGAACGTATTTTTTTAATTGTACTTATGGCAGTAGCTCAACATATGATGTCACTTATTTCTTGTAAAAGAAGTCCGTCACAAAACACTGCTTTTTTGCTTTTATCTTGGAATTTGTCCATCCTCTTTCTAATTTTCGCCGCAATCCGAATAAAGTTTCAACCATTCCTGGTTGACTATGAGGGAAAGCATACCGTTCCAATTTCTGTTAACACTGTTTAACTCAGTTGCAAGCACAGTACTGACAAAGTTAAAACTCCAGGGAGGGGTTCAACAAAAGAATAACTATACACTTTCACTGTATTCCAATGATGGCTTCAATGTCCATACGATAATCCTCCAGAGAGGAGGCATTCATCAGTCAGAAATTCAAAACAACAAAATATTAACTGTAAACGTTTCCCATAAAAGCATTGAAGCTAAGTGCATTCATGCATGAACCTGTCCAACTTACAACAAAACGGGTGTTCAAGTTCCAGGATAAAGGGGTGTTTAAGATATAGGGTATTGTGGACATATAAAATTATAGGATATTCGCCGGTTCCAATTAAAAGTGTCCAATATAGAGGGGTGTCCAACTAGAGGGGTTTTACTGTATAATTAGGCAGGAGACATTTGCTGTACCATACGTCATCAGTGTTG